TGGAATCCTGCAGCTGTGCCAGGTTCACCAGAGGGGGACCCTGGACAAGACCCTCCCCCAGGACCACCTGGTCACCATCTTGAAGGACCAGCTGCCAAATGCCTAGGCCTGGCAGGAAGAGGATGTAGCCTGCCAGGACAGGTGGCAGGCAGAGGACATGGCTCACGAAGACACATGGGACTGGGCAAACTAGTTCTGGGCACAGCTCCTGGCCCTGCATGAGTGGGTGGAGGCACTATGGGAGCAGACCATGTTCCTACAGGTCATGGATGATGAACACCAGGTGCTGGACACCGTTCTGGTCTTGGTAGTTGCCTTCATGCTAGCCACTGCCCAGCCTCTGACCCTAGGCCTACCTGCCCCTTGGCAGCTGCCCACCACCCAGGAGCAGGCCCCAGCAGCCAGAGGTGGAGCTGTCCACACCAGGAGAGCACCAGCTGCTGTCAGCCCTGGGTAAGGCCGCCACCTGCCACATTCACCGTGACATGTGCACCTGTGGACAAATAGCCAGAACATGGTTTAATATTGTTGGGGCTGGGGTGGGTTGGGTGGTGGAAGGGTTCTGTTCATTGAGTGGGGAGGGGGCTCTGTTGGGAAGGGAGAAGAGAGGGAAACTCTGGTTGATGTAAAGGGAATAAAAACTTGTTTTTCTGAGACGTGTCTGCTTTGAGCATGGTAGTAGGGTGGGCAGGGAGTGTGGGTGGTCTGTGGGCAGCAGTGCAGGTGGGCTATAGAGATGAGTGCTGGAAGAGGTGGTTGGTCAACACCTCCCACACCCAGTGCTCTAGCCTCCACTGCCGGATGCGCAACAATCTGGGGGCCTTGGTTGTGGGGTGGGAGGCGCTGCTGCTGCTGCCGCTGCCACTGGTAGTGCTTCTGCTGGCAGGCTCCCTCCAAGTGCCACACCTCCTTCACCCAGGCCTTCCAAATTTCTCCCCCCAGGCCTGCCAGCTGTTATGCAGCATGCAGGCTGCAATGATGACCCAGGGGAGGTTGTTTTTGATGAACCAGGTGGCAGTTAAAGTGGGCCTGGCAGGGGTCCAGGTGGCTGGTATATGGCTGTATGAACCAGGGCAGAAGTAGGTAGATGGGGTCTCTGATGAGCAGGGAGGGAATGCCACAGTGCCCAGCAAGTGAACAGACATTATTTTTGATTCCAGAAATGCAACCACATGCCTGCAGCAGCCCAAACCAGAAACCAGGGGGTGCTAGAACATACCTCCTTGCTTAGCTGGAGCAGATAGGTTGGGCCAGGGCTAGCACACCTACCCTGTGAGTGGGAGGTGCAGGAGAGATACAAAGCATCTTGGGATTCTGGGGGACTAAGATAACTTGAATCTGGAGGGGATCTGGTACAGAAGTTCAATACAGTAAAACTATTTAACTTAAATCAGTTAAGTCTGATACTACATCCATCCAGGTTTATCTTAAACCAGTTTCAGTCATTTGAAAGCAGTTTATGTGCACTGAATTTCTGCTGTGTTATAGATTTGAACTAGTTTCCCATCACTTATACCAATTTATATATAATTTCTGGCCCTAGCTAAAGGGTCCACAGTCAAATTTTAGAAAGGCTCTCCTTTGCAAACAAGCAGTACAGTGTGCATCTATCTGCAAAAAGCAACCAGCACAATCAACGTTCAGGTGTACAATGATGCTGCAGACCAACTTGTTTAACTCTAACTGGGTGTGTCTACAGAAGATGCTAAATATGCTGTTGACTAATTCTACTGCGCATTAGCACATCATGGAAAAAGCTGTGCTATTGCATTAGTGTGCAGTAGAATTAGTCTCCTGTGCATTAGCATCACTAAAAAGGCATGTGCCAGTGCTACTGCACAGTAGGGCTGTGCGAAGCTTCAGTCGCTGATTCGATTCAGAGATTCAGCCCAATTCAGCAACTGAATCTCCGAATCCTATTTGAATTGGGAGACCCTTTAATCCCTCCAAATCAAATCAGAACTCTCCAAATAGATTCAGAGAGATGCAATGATTCAGACATAGACACAGCTTTAAATGTTTTTTCTATATACCTCAAGGTACCAGGCAGCTTGTGAATGCTGAGATGCTAGGGCAGATGGAGCATCCCACAGAAGCACAGGGGGGTCCCCAGCATGCTCGGCCATGGACCTTCCAGTCCACTTCCTGGTCCGCCAGACAGCCCGCGGGGGGCCCCCCCCAGCTCAGCAACTGGTGCCTCATGGGTCTGGTGGGGCACCTGGGGTCCCCCTGTAGCCAATCGCCAAGGCAGAAGTACTTCTGATCCACTTCCGGGTTCACCACCAACCACACAGGGGGGCCCCCCTGCAGTCCTGTGGGATGCTCCATCCACCCCACCATCTCAGTGTTCACAAGCCACGCCTGGTACCTCAAGGCATGTAGAAAAAACATTTAAAACTGTGTCACTGACTGACTCGATGATACTCTGAATCAGCATCAAATCTTCAGAGCCAGATTCAGCCGAATCGATTCAGGACAGTGATCCATATCAACGAATTGAATCACTCTGCCCAGTTCGGGCCGAATCCAAATCCAAATCTAATACAGCCCATTTTGCACACCCCTACTGCACAGTAGTACCTGTTACTGCACATTTAGTTAGTACATGTTATTACAGGTAACAAACTTCATGTGCAGTAACCATGGCACATTAACGCACATGTAGACATGCCCACTGGGGGCAGGAATGAGTCCTCTGAGATTTGATGCTCCAGACTGCAGCTGTTTGGCTATGCCAAGAGTAGTCTCTATCAAGGCTAATAAGAGCCTCCACCAAAAAGCATTTAGGTTTTGAAATGTAGGAATCTGCAATAGTGAAAAATAAGAGATTTGATATTTGTATCCTAGACTGTCAAATAAGAAAAACAAACAGTTCAGGGATGTCAGCATCTGCAACAAACAACAAGAGTGCAGGGAAACTGGGATTTTTTAAATAGTTCCATGTCAGTGTAAACTAAGGTCCAAATCCAAAATTCTTAATTTAAGCTCATTATCCACATCTATCAAGGTCCTGAACATCATCATATAACCCCCTGTTATTTATGTGCAGGTCCTGAATCAAAAGGACCGGAAATTCAGGTGCTCCTCCTAATGCTAGATCTTGCCCAGCCATGGCAATACCAACAGGCTATTATACAGAGCTGTGGGTGCCAGATCACATGGGGAAGGGAAAGAAAAAAGGAAATTTCAAGTTACGGTGATGTAAAAAAGCACTTCTTAATAAGGTCCCCCTGGCAAAGTGTGGTTCTAATCCTTAAGGACTGGAGAGGTTAAATCCAGAGCACCCCTTGGAATCAGTGATGCCATCTGACTGTGTGGAGCCCCCACTTGAAGAGGATAATTTGCAGGTTTAATGTGTTAAACTGCTAAACTCTTTCTATTCATCCCTTCCTTTAAAGAAAGAATCATGGACTCTGTGATATCCCATCACTGAAGTCATGCAGGACTGAGAGAGGGAGAAGGAAAAAAAAGCTAATCAGGAAGCTTTAGAGGCATAGCCCCAAAAGGAGTGGCAGCTGGCCAACCCCAGATCTTCCTAGAGAATGGATCAGAAGCCCTTGTGCACTCAAAGAAAGGAGAACAGTCTGTGTGAGAGAAGACCTAATGAAAACATGAAAGAACTGGGCAGGTAAAATATATATTCAACATCTATTTTTTTAAACTCTTCTCCCTCCAACAAAAATCATCTATAGTCCTGCAACATGAACAATTCTTTCAGATAACATTCTAATAAAGTTTCTTTCACATTGCAGCTAAAATTTGGGTAAAGAAATCTGGCAGTTGAATTTGAAGGCAGGTTATATTAGCACCTTAGGGTGGGTCCCCAAGAGCACTCACATGCAAGTGTGTGTTTTAATGGGACAAATAGCAGCTGCACAAATATGGCTCTAGCACATGGCAGAGGGACCAAGGTGGGGTAGGGGAAACGGGCCAGCACCTGTGCTGACCCCAGCAGCCTTACCTGGGTTCCTGGGGGTCTCCCAGGGCAGCAGCATTGCTGAGCTGCCCACTCAGAGCCTGGCCAGCAGCCAGAGCATGGCTCTGGCTGGCCAGGCGCTGGTTTCTGGTGGTGCATGCTGCTAACATGTGCTGCCCACCTGGTATCAAAAAAACTGCTGCATTGCAAATTAGCAGTGCTGGGCATGGGTACGTGTGTTCTATGCAGCTTGTGGTGCCTCAAACAGCTTTGAGGCAGTGCAGACCACACATGCTCACTCATGGGGATGTGCCCTTAGACACTAACCAAAATAGATATATATATATTGTATATGGTGCAAATCTACCCTTCCTTCTGCTTGATTTCTAACATGGCTAACTGTCTCTCTCTGCACTTGAATTAGAGGCAAGTCCAACTAAAATGCCAAACTTAAGTGGTGTGCCCATACCTTGGGAAGAGGTGAGTTTAGATGTATTAGGTTAATATCTAACTGAATGCTGTTCCAGCATGTGATTTGTTGGCCAATACTTAAATATAAAAAAAAAAAATCTTCACAATTAAATTCACATGTCTTTAAGCCTCAAAGTGAAATCAAAGAATCATGAACTATTATATTTACCCCAATTTTCCAGCTCGTTTAATTAATTTCTTTTTTATGATCTGACAAAGAAGTAATCTATTCTGTATATAATTTATGTAATTAAATATTTAAACACTATGGGTGCATTCTCACAAGTGTGCACATGCAGTTTGCAGTGGTGGTGCACTTAAAGTACTCAAAGTACATGGTGCACATGCACCATGTTGTTAATTTGCAGTGCAGTAGGCCTTTTGACACCAGGAGATCCCAGTATCAAAAACTGAGGACATTTTACTATTGCCTTGAATTCTGGAAAAAGTTGTCCTTATGTAAAGATATAGGACAATTTATAAAATGATTATTGATGCTAAGTCTTTCTACATTCCAGTCTGGAAACCTAAAGCAGTCACTCCCTGAAACCTGCCCCCTCAACATCTCAAGTTTGGCAGTCAAAAACTGAGGCACTCAGAATCACTAATTGCTTTTAATAATACATGTGAGAAACAGTACAAAAAGTTCTATTTGTATTTATTACAGGAAAATAATATTTTTGGATACAAATTAAGATAAAGCAGTGATTCTCAGCCAGGGTGATGTGGTACCCTGGGGTGCCTTGAGATCCTTTCAAGGGTGCCATGGAGTACCACACAACATTAGCACCATTTGGTGTGCAAACATTATTCAGAATATAAACCCAGAGATTTCAAATAGCAATCCATAGCATTATTCTGACCTGCTGGGGGCTTCCTGAGTTTTTTGCAACTGAAAAATTGCTCTATTGTTTTTCTTTAGTCAAAAAATGAATGACAGCTAAAGGCTGGCATTTTCTGAGTGGTGACTTGAGTCTAACTAGGTGTGCCTCAAGTCTATCAAGGCTGAGAACCACTGAGATAAAGCTTATTTTAAAGCACACACAAACATTCCTTTTTTTGGAAACACTAAACAGACAATGCCAATTACGCCAAATCATAATGTGCATAATAAACATATTACACAATTTGATTGCTTGCCACTGTTAAAATATTGCTTTGTCATCTTATTTGCTGATCTGGAAATGCACATACATAGAAAAATAAATGCCATTGCTATGATTTATGTGATTTATCAGGAGAACCTATAATACTTTAACCTTTCCAAAAAGTTAATTATCTCAACTGTATGGTCTGAGGTGACACCTCAGCATGTTGCGAAGTATATAAGTCCACAGTTTTCAGTTCCAAATCCTCTTATCCAGCTGAAACCTGACCTGTAACCAACATGTCAACCCAGAGTCAGGCAGATCTCATTCATATGTTCAAGGGGATTCCTTTTACCACCAGGTCATCGCTAGAACTATTAAAATCCTTGGATACTTTCGATGCTAGAGAAGATGATGTCCTTTTGGTTTCCTATCCAAAGTCTGGTAAAGTTCTACTTTAAGCTTTATTTACAGGGACTCTTAAATGTTTGCTGAACTTTCCGAGTTTAACCTAGTTATAAAAAGTGCCTGCGTGAGACAGAGAACAATGTTTAGATTCAGGATTTAAATATATCGATGTATTATTGCAATATGAAGCGTGAAATTGTAATATAGAAATAATTTGTCTGTATTTTAATATTGTTATGGTAAATAACAGGTATATCATGTGTCTGGGTATACTTTCTTAATAGATATTTCTTCCTTGCTAGTAAATAGCCCGACCTTTTCAGTATGGTTAGGTACTTTCTGAGGTGAATCATTAACACAATGGTTCTCAACTTTTTAGACTAAAGGCACCTCTTGGAAAATGCTAGCTTTTATCTTTTACTTGTTTTTTGACTACGGAAAAATAATAGAGTAATTCTTCTGCTGCAGGGAACTCAGAAAGAAACCCAGTGGGTCAGAAATGTTTTTGACACTATGGATTCCTATTTGAAATCTCTGGGTTTATCTTGTGAATCATGCGAGTCTCAATAGCACCCTGATTGAGAATCACTGCATTAACAAGTCAAGAAATTAAATTATTTCCATGCTTCTTGTCTGTAACTCTATTAATCTTTTCCCCAAAATAATGTCACTCATATTTTCAAAATATGTAGGCCAAGGTGTTACAGTATGATAGAAACTTAAGTTCAATACTGTCTCAGTTTCCTAAAATAACACGATCATTAAACTATTGTGGCAGGATTTTCCTTTGTTCTGTACTGATATAGTGCGTAGCACAGTGAGGTCTTAGACTACATTTAGGGCTCATACAGTAAGATAAATAATAGTAATCTAACCACCTCCTATGTGATAAACTATCAGAATAATATGTAATTGCACAACAAGCTTAGTATCTCTATTACTCAGCATGTCTTCCTGGCAGAATCATTCTATTCATTTTGCAGACTCACCAGAACTATTTACCTATGTAAAGTTTCTCATATTACTGTTGTAGGTTTAGGCTTTCAAACACAGCTGTCAAACATGCATGCGAATGCCAAAGACAAACTTTTTCCATGTTAATTTTCCTAATAACAAAAACTTTATTTCTTTCCCCTCTTCAACCTTACCGCCTTCCCTTCCTCTTCCAAAGGCACACACTGGCTTGCACAAATTATAATGCAGCTGTACACTAACCAAGTCACCCTAACCTCTCCTATCGAGTTTGGAGACATTTTGAAACTGGAGGAACTGAAGAACCTTTCATCCAGGAGAATTATCCCTACACACTTGGACTACAACATGTTACCAATGAATTTTAAGAACAAAGGATGCAAGGTGAAATATATAAACTTACTTCTGTCTAGTTAAATAAATATCTTGTCTTGTCTGTAGTTAACTACCTTTTAAATACACATTGATTGCTCTATTGTTAAAAAAAGCACTGCTTTCTGCCATACCAGGTTGAAACAGTCACTAATTTCAATGAGCTTCTCTAGATTTAACAGTATCAGAAACAGTATTTTCCCATAAATTAATTGACTAATCAAAAGTGGAGTGGCATCTTGGATACAGTATTGGACTATGACCCAGGAGATGTGTCTCTCATTTCTGTCTCTGACAGTCCTTGAGCAAGTAATTTCATCTCTCAGAACCTTGTTTTCCCCATAGGCAAAATGGAAGTAAACAGTATAGACCTTGGTAAAAGCACTTGGAGAGCTCTTGGTGAAAAGTCTCATATAAAAGCAAGGGTCATCATCATGTTCACTTGTTCCACCAAATTTAAATAGATCCATATGCAAATTTTGACTATTTTTGTGTCAGTTTTTTTAAATACAGAAAGACTATATAGGCACATCTACACATCGCCATATGGCAATGTAACGATGTGCTATGTTGCCATATAGTGCACTGCAGTGACATAGCAATCATGCAGGTCTACATGTGATTGCCAGCTACATTGCTGTAGCGGCACGGTCCCCTGCCATAGTGTGCTGCTACAGTGACGTAGCAGCAAAATCTAACCATGTGCCATGCACACAGCACAGTAACTGCCCATACTGCACTGTGCTTTAGTACTTCCAAAAGGAAGTACTAAAACATGGCACCATAGTAACATCACCATGCAGCAACATGTGTTCAATGACCACTGTCCTGTTTTGTGAGTCACATACTTAGTTCAGGCTGTGTATTAAATGACTAAAAGTCCAAAATAAATTTCCCTCACTTACATAACAGTTTCCTCAACGTTTATTGTTCTCCAAAACATGATCTTCATATCCAGTATTTTGGGTCTAAAGTATAAAGTTTCAGTAATACATCACAACACCCAGCTTCTCAATAGCTATATCACTTTGTAGATATAACCTCTGCCCTTAATCCATGTACTAAACTCCTAATGATTTCAGTGGATGTTTGGTATCCAGGAGGCAGCAATACATATACTGCTTCTTAACCTGTATTAAAATTTCAGGGTTTAAGAATAAGGTTTTGTTATATGGTGACATTTAATTTGTGTCATAAATTTATATCGTGTCATTATAATAGATGGATACCATTTTGGACTTTTTAAAACATTTTAAATGATCAGTAAGTGTGAGTGGTATATATACTTTTGGCAGAAAGGTCCTTTAATGACTCTTGTTACCTGTTGGAAGGTCAAGGACTTTGTTACCTATCAGAAGAACACTTGATTTTAATGAGTCTCTGTAAAATTAGTCTATCAGTATATCTCACACTACTTATACTTCTGGGCTAACCTTTGTTTGACTTAGGTTACAGTTAGTGTCATGAAAAAATATATTGATTCAAACATAAATCATTGGACTTTGATTTTTAACAATGTTTAATTACTAATTATTCATGCTTCTCTGCTAATTTTGGACCTATGCCATGGTTTAAATTTTGAGCTAATTTATTGACTTAAATGCAAGTCATTGGACTTTGATTTTTTTTTAATATAAGATTGGCATGCTTCTTCCAGAAGCCTTTATTGTGCTATACAGGTTTCCTCAAAAGTGGTTATTAGGATAAGTTGCTTGTTAAAATCCAGGGATTTCAGTATATTGTTGATTGCTATAGGTGACAATGCCAGTTATCTAAACAAAAAGTCAAGACTGAAGTATGAATTAAAATAAGGACTTCAGCCACAAACCCAAGTTTGGATCTCAAAACTTTCTTTTCCTGGAAATATGGGTACCGTCAGGCCTGTGTTTTTTGGTTTTTCACATATCGGTATTATAGGTTTTGGGGGAATAAATAGCAAACAAAAAAACAAAAACAGCTCCAAACACTTCAGAATTTCGAATTTGTTGAGATCCAGGCTCTTTGGTCAGGGTCAAACCTAGTGCAGTGCCCTCTGTATGACAGATAGCACACAGCTTACACAGAAACACTTCTGCAAGCAGATCCTCTAAAGAAAAAAAATCTTTGTTAATTACATTATTTTAATTTACAGACTATCTACATCATCAGAAATCCAAAGGATACTGCTGTTTCTATGTATCATTACTACAAAGATAACCCATACCTTCCCACCATTGATAAATGGACTACTTTCTTGGAGCTGTTCTTAAAGGGAGATGGTAAGAACGAGTCCTTTTTTCTCACTCTAGCTTACTAACTTATAATGAATAGTAAAATCCACGAAATATAAATAAGGGTTAAAACTCCTTTTTTCTTTCTACAAGCCATGTAGGCCACATCCAATCAGTAGTATTTATAGTATTAATATGCAATGGTTTTAACAATGATTTATTCACAAGCCCTGCTGAGCTCAATGGGACTTTGAATTCTATCAGGGTGAGAGATCAGGTCCTTCCTTATTATTAGAATGATTTCTGTTGAAACACAAAAAAATATGGCTTTACCTTTCAACCTCCAAGCGGACATGTTAACAAGCTAAATGCTATGTTAAAATTCCAAAATGTAACTGTTTTTTTTTATAGGTTTGTAAAACATTTTGCCATCAACTCTAGACAAACTTGCCCAAATGAGTTACTGACTTGTTCCACCCACAAAAGCAAGCAAGCAAAAGGAAATCTATTTGATTGCCTACCATCAAACAGGGAGGGGAGAAAGGGAAGACTATTTTTTATCAAAATCATCACATAGCCATACTTGTATATCACTTTGGCTGGGTTGATCACAAGGAATTTATTTTTAAATCTTGACATACAAAATCTTTGTCACATAGGCTCAACTTTGCAACATAGCTTATTTGGAGCTACTTGTTCCAATTCCAAGACAAGAATTAATTGTTTATTACTTATAACACATGAAACTGAAGTTCAGCTCATGCTCTTGTCCTTATCATCCACCCCCACTGTTTTATTATTACTCTGAATACGTTTGCTGCTGCTAGATAAGCCGAACAACTAATGGCTTTAAAAGAAAACATCAACTGTCATAAGAATTGGTAACACTGGGTGCATCTACACATTCATTAAAGTGCCATAGTTACTATACATTAAGTTTAGTATTTAGATAACCGAGTTCTAAATCAATGCACAGTAACTCATGCTACTTTGCAGTAGCACCAGCACATTGTTTTTTAGTGACACTAACTGCAGTAGCTTAATACTACTGCATAGCAGCGTATTAGCACGGGTTTAGCCCAGCATGCTACTGCACCGTATTATTAGGCTACTGCACAGTTAGCATCTTGTGTAGATGCACCCACTGTTGAGTAAATACTTGTTTAAGTTCCCCTGGACAGTTTAAAATAAAATAAGGAAATAAGAAAAATTACTGTGCAGCAGTAGATAAGTACTCTATTTTCCCTCCAGAGAAGGCTGCATTTTGTATTGAAGTTATCATTCCAAACAATGGTCTTAATCCTAATCCTACAGACACTTGTAGGCTTCCTTTTCTGAACGCTTCTATGACTATTGACTTCAGCAGAACTAGTCGTGTTAGTTTATGTTTGTATCCAGTGTTTTGAATTTAAGTGTCTTTGTGCAGTGATCTTGAACCAATCATCAGAAAAAACTAAACCAATTTTAAGGGGGACATAATGCATTATCACTGTTCAGCAGAAAGAGAACATTTCCTTCAGCATGTGGTATATAATTACAATTGTTCTGAAATTGTTATTTGTTACAATTCTTATGAAAATAAATTCATATGGATCCTATTTTGTATTTCTTTCAGTTGTCTGTGGATCCTGGTTTGAGCATTTCCTAAGTTGGGAAAAGCATAGAAATGATGAAAACATTCTGTTTTTGTTCTATGAAGACATGAAGAAGGTAACTGTATTTCTTGTTACCATTTCTGTTATTCATATATTTCATGTCTCATGTGGGATTGGGGGACGGGACTGACCAAAACTATTGTAAAATTGCATCATTTATTTTTCTGCTCTTTGAAATCTCAAAGTCCAGAGCAGAACCAGTTCATAACACAGCTATACCTATATAGAATTAAAAAGGGTTATATAAGCATTAGCCAAGTAATTCTCTCAAATACATATTAGGTGTTAGAACCCAATTTCACAGAAGTGAGGAAAATGATATACAGAGGTTATGAAAGCTAAAGATACATCCGCTCAACCTTGGATATAGAAACAAGGCTTGAACTAAGATCCAGATCAGTCTTAGGGACATATTGTTAGATTGCACTGCCAGACAGGGAGAAATTTCTCTTTTCTGAGAATCCCCACTAACTTGCAGTGGAATTGGAGGGGAAGACTTGCTAGAGCTGATGGCCTTGGGATTTCTAATATTGCAGGGTGGCACTGGAAGAAGTGCCAAAGTGATTTAAAAGTGCAAATTCACCCAGGCTAAGTACAGACAATCAAAAAGCCGAGGCTGAATTGATTAAATCATCACAGGTTAGTCTAAGCTATGTAAATTGAACTGAGAAGCAAGTGGACAGACATTCATTTTTGGCTCTGGAAATGCAGCCGCAGGCCTGCAGTGGCTCCGGCCAGAGCCAGGGGGCACTAGAGCATGCATCCCTGCTCAGTTAGAGGGGACAGCTTAGGCCAAGGCTAGCCCACCCACCTGGTGACGGAGGTGTTTACGGGGGAGGTGCAAAGCATCCTGGGGCCCTGGGGGACTGTGAATTAACTTGAATCTGGAGGGGAACTGGGGCAGCAGTTCAATAATCTGATTTAACCTAAATCAGTTAAGTATGATACTACATCCATCCAGGTTTATCTTAAACCAGTTTCTGCCATTTTGAAAGTGGTTTATGTGCACTGAACTTCTGTTGTTACAGATTTGAACCAATTTCTGATTGCTTTTACTGATGTATGTGTAATTTCTGTCCCTAGCCCCAGTGTTTACAAAACCTGTAATCCCATGAAATTAGGTTAAAAAAATAATCCATTTTTTAGCTGGACAGATTTCTTGCAGAAAGTGTCTGCTCTCCTCAAACTTTTAGCTTTTCATGAAGAAGTCTAAAGGCATTTTATTTTTCAGGTTGTGGATTTTCTTAATTAAAAATGTTATTTCTCACTAAAAAAATTTCCCCTAACCCCCATATATGGCAATATTTTCCTCTTGGGAAATAAAAATTCAACTCTAAGTCTCATGGACCCTATCAAATCAGTCTCACTCACAGACCATAGTTTGACAATGTACAGCATTCTCACGGAAACCAGTAGGAGTCACTCTTCAGAAAAATATATAACTGCCTTGTTGAACTGCAAAATTGGCCATGTTGCCATTCTTAATTTAAACAAGAATGTATCTCTCGGGCCCAAATCTCTTCTTAATTACACCTTGTGTATGTCAATAGTAATTCATTCATTTCAATGGAATTACTCCTAGCTGACCTTAATGAAAATGGGTGTCTACACAAGATGCTAAATGCTCATCAGATTAATTCTATTATGCATTAGCGTATGATGCAAAAAACATGCTAATGCACAGTAGAATTAGTGTAATGCGCATTTAGCGTCACTAAAAAATGTTCATCTGAGCTAATGCGCAGTAGCGCCGATTACGGCAGATGAAGTAGGGCTGATTACGGCACATGAAGTTAGTACCTGTGATTAAAGGTACTAACTTCATTAATGCACCTTAATTACAGCACGTTAATGAACATGTAGGAATGCCCAGTGATAAGAAAATTAAGCCTAATATATATCGATTGTACATGCCAGTATGCTATTTAGTTCTGACTAAAATGAACACTCATTCTCTTCTGTTAGCCTATCTGACGTAGAATATGATATTTTTCTTAGAAAAATTAAGACTATTCTTCACATGTTCAGGATCTTCCCAAGACTGTGAAAAAAATTGGCATGTTCCTGGGAATAAACATCAGTGATAGTGAAATCCGAGAGGTCTGCAAGAAATCATCTTTCTCAGAGATGAAAACTAACATAGAAAAAGAGAATGTTGATCCAAATCACACTGTTTGTGCACTGACATCTGACAAGAAGCTGATATTTCGAAAAGGTATGTTGGTTGAAACTAGCCCAATAAACTCTCACGTTGACCCTTTTTCAAAGCCAACTGATGTCAATAGAAGATTCTACACTGCCTTTATTGAACTTTGGAGCAGACCCACAGGGTCATGATGATAAATTCTTCTCAGTGAATCCATTTCTAGCCTACTTTTCCCCAAAATTCTTTGGTTATAAATGACTGCCATATTAGAAGAAAGAGGTAGTTAGTCATGGTAGTTTGAGGTCAGGGAGAAGTCAGGGCAGAGTGGCACTTTATAGACTAACTTATTCAGAAATGCATAAGCTTTCATAGCCAGTAGCCTACTTTGTCAGATACTGTGAACATAGGGAAGAGTCAAGACAAAAAGTTTACTTATGTTCTGTATGAGCTTTAGGGCTGAAAGGAAAATTTTATTCAGTTTAACACTTTATCTATGTTCTTTATCTATAGTTCAGTACCTCAGTCTTTCACAAACACTAAAATGTACCCTCCTCTCTTACAAGCCAAGGTCATTCAGTTTATCAGGAACCAAAGATAGACTCATTCTTTCTGAGGTAGCTTATAATTAGTGTTTATCTTATATATTACCCTGTGTTTTATTGAACCATACTTGCAAAAGGAATATGCTGACAACAAAAAATAAATGAATGCGTCAGTTGATAAAGCAAACTTTTTTTTATCCTAAGACCTCTGTCAGATTGAAAAGTTCTAAGAAGTGCTTAGGTTATGTGACTGTGAAATAAAGATCATAAATTGAGCTTGACAGGATATATTTTTACTCATCCATCTCTTTTGAGATTTCAGAAACTCTTCTGATCCCAAGTTGGGATGAAATGTCCCTGAAAACTCTAGGGTTTTGAGCACTCTTACTTTTATTTTATATAACCTTTAGCTTAAAACTTCAAAATTAAAAGCTATTTCAAATTTGAGCGTCAAAGTTGTTCATTTAATACTTGTGGAAATTGGATATTTGGATGATTTTGAAACTTTCCCCCAACTTTACAGACAAAAATATTAATAAAAAAGAGACTGACCTTTCCTGTAAAAAGAATTGTTATATTTCAACAAATTTTCTGTTGAACTATTACCAACCATTTTAACTCACGTCAGGGTCATTTGCTTATTTTATGTAGGACTTGCAAGGAGTAGTCTCTTTATTTGCCTTCTAGTTTTCAAGCCTTTAAGAGAGTGCAGAATCTCACTTTGGACCACAAATATGAAAACTAAGGTTGCTTGTAGATGTGCTCTGACGTGTTCTAATTAGATTAATAGAGTCTTCTCCATGTTCTAAGTAGAACACTCCAGTCTAGCCTCATCATCACATGTCTTAAGCCCCACTGCATTTCAAAATGGCCGGAGGACGCTTTTACTACACCTTGTCGAATGTGCTTTAATTCAAGCACCCCCACAGCCATTTTGAAATATGTGGGGCTTAATACACATGGTAGTGAGCTGTTTTAATTAGAGTGGCTGTCCAGGTAGCTCTCTAATTATAACACCCCTCCCCCGCCTCCAAGCACATGTATAGGTGAGTGTAGGGACACTTTTTAAATACGGGATTTAAACAAGCAATTTGGGGAACAAAGGCAAAATATGTAAGCCTGAAAATGTTATGGTTATTGTTATGATGTGCTGGCTGACAATCAGCCTGTTTCCAGTCAGGTTTCTGCCACACACAATCCAAAACATTATTCAAAATTATAGTTTGTATACTACAAAAAGGGAATAAGGATGATGGTAATGACAACATGCACTAACAAAGCCAGTCTATGTTTAAAAACTAAATCACTCACTCCAAAATAGCAAACCAACCTCACTTACTCCTTTTCCATTCTCCCTCCCCTAGGTACTGTTGGTGACTGGAAGAACCACTTCACCCCAAAACAAAACAAGTTGTTTGAAGAGATGTTTAGTAATAAAATGAAATACAGTGACTTGGCAAAATGCATTACATACGAATTCTGAGAAATAAAACTGAGGCAAAGAAGCTGGAGAAGGGATAAAGTATTTCAAAAAGCTTGTACTTTTGAAACGGATACTTTCTGGGGGAAAAAATAAATACATTCAAACATTAATTAAATTGTCTCTCTTAATATGGGTAGCCCTAAGAACTGTACACAGGTAACAAAAGTCAAAGTAAAACTGAATTATCTCAATTTGATGCTGCTTAGCAATTTGGATTATTTCCAAATGAATTCATATTGGCTATCAGTCAACATGTTTTTTTGCACAATGAGGGCTACCCTAAAGTGTCATGTTAGATGTCATAAATAAAGATTTAGTCCTAAATCACACAGTGGTCATATCTACTACGGGTGTGTGAAACAGGCCCTATTCTATTCAGATTCAGCTCAAATTGGGGACAGTGATTCAATTCATTGATTCAGATCACTGTTCCCAATTCAATTCCACCAAATCGGAATCTGAAGATTCAATGCTGATTAGGAGAATCAGCAATTCAGCCATAGACACAAGTTCAAATGTTTTTTTCTACATACCTTCAGGGACCAGGCACGGCTCATGAATGCTGCAATAGTGGAACAGATGGAGCATCCCACAGGAGTGCAGGGGGCCCCCCCGAGTGCTGGGTGGCAAACCCAGAAGTGGACCAAAAGTACTTCCAGTCCACTTCTGGGTCTTCTGCCAAGCATGCTGCGCCCTCCCCGCCCCCCATGCAGTCTCTGCTCGGCGATTGGCTGCAGGGGGACCTTGGGTACCCCCCCCAGACCCAGGAGGCACCACTAGCTGAGTCAGGGGGCACAGGTCTCCCCCCCAGCACGCTCCCCAGCGGACATGGAAGTGGACTAGAAGTGCTTCTGGTTCACGTCTGGGTGTGCTGCTGAGCATGCTGGGAACCCCCCCCCCCACACACGCACACACACTCCTGTGGGATGCTGCATCTGCCCTACCATCTCAGTGTTCACGAGCCGCCTGGTACCTTGAGGCATGTAGAAAAAACATTTATATGTCTGAATCATCAAATCTTTCCAAATCTCTCCGAATTGATTCGGAGGGTTCTGAATCAATTCGGTGAGATTAAATGGTCTCCTGATGTGATTCAGATTCGGAGATTTGGCCACTGAATCAGGCCAAATCTCTGCCAAATCAAATCAGCGACCAAAACTTCGCACAGCCCTTATGTCTATACATGCTCTTAAATGCTCAGTAGACTATTTTACCCCACATTAAAGTGTCACGTAAAAAACCTGTGGCATTACTCTAATGTGCAGTAAAATAGTCTAGTGCACATTAAGCATTATGGAAAAAGTGTGCAGATGTACCACTGTCCATTAGCTCAGCCTAATGCACATTAATTTAGTACCTCACATTGGCGGTACTAAATTTAATGCACATTAGAAAAGGAGCATAAATGCATGAATGCACACCCACTAGGAATTACCAAATGCTGAACAAAACATTTGGATTTTGAAAATGGGGATAGAAACCTGCCAATACACTCAAATAATCAATTAACACAAATATAAATGTTCATGTTTTAAAAGGCCAGGTTTCAGATTTCCCTATCCAAACCCATCTCTGTGGGTTTTATGTCTCTATCATATTCAAAAGTGTAAGATGATTATCTAGCTCTGCCTGAAATGCTGTTAAGAGTCCAGAGTGAGATAGCAGGAACTGAAGAATTGAACTTGCAAAAGTTCACCATCCTTTGGGAAGCAAGTCAAAGCAGAGCGTAGAATCCTTGTAGAATTGCTAACTATTTGAAATGAAACCAAAGCAAGGCTTTCATCTTAATCAGAAATTTGACTGAGCATAATCAATTTCTTTGATGAAGCATAATTAGCTTTACATAACTGCCACTAATCTGAATTGGTTAACAGCAGCTGTTTAAGTTTGTTTATAGAAAGATTTTTTATATATATATATATATATTTCTTCCCCAATTAAATACAGAAAATACATACACACACACATATACACAAGCAAACCAAAATAAATACATTAATTAAAAAATAAATAATGCTCTGAGGGAACACACTGTGCCCAGCAAGAAGGGGCCCCAGGAAGCCACAATAAACATCCCTCTGTTCTCAGCCAGCCTGATGCTCAGTCCCAGACATACAACTCCAGCTTCCAGGGCTGCTGGCCTATTCAGTGCTTGCGCCTCCATAGCTTCGGTGGCCTCAAAATAAAAAAAAACAAAACAAAACATTTTGGTCACATTGAGTCACCATTCCCACTCAGGCACTCCCAGCGCTCCGATTCAAGCATGGGCCTAGAATCTGGGGCTTGGCATGGCATGCCAAAGCCCAAAGGATCTCAGCATGCCATGCCAAACCCTGCATCTTTCAGCTCTGGAGCCCTGGCACTAGTCAGATGGGCTCTGGAGCCCCATAGAGATTGCCGTGTCTCAGGGGGTATAAAAAGTTTCTCCTGCCAACTGGGGCCCTGCATGCCAGCAGAGTCTCTGGGGCCCACACCAAGCCTCGGGCTCACAACCACTCAGATACTTCTGGTGCTCCAATTCAAGCATGGGTCTAGAATCTGGTACTTGGCATGGTATGCTGAACCACAAAGGATTTTAGCGTGCCATGGCAAGCCCTGCATCTTTCAGCCCTGAGGCCCTGGCACTGGTCGGATGGGCTCTGGAGCCCATTGAAGTTTGCCATGTCTCAGGGAGAAAAAAAACTCCTCTTGCTGCCTGGGGCACCACTTCCTAGCAGAGTATAAGGAACCCACACCAAGCCTTAAACTCACAAGTAAAACATCATGACTTTGGCACTCAAACTTCTCAACCACAGAGGAAAGCCAGTACCTACCCCTTCCCACCCTCAGTACCCATAACAGCACGACACATACATACATACACATGGACACCTCAACAATTTTGGGTGCCCCAAAAGTAAAACATAAAAACCCCATTCTTGACGCACCATGTCAGCCTTCCTCACAGACAGTCTGAGTCACCCTTCCCACTCAGATGCTCCCCGTGCTCCGATTCCAACACGGGCCTAGAATTTGCACAGATTTGTGCTGCTGCTATTTGGCCCTGGGTATGTCTCTGCTCACGTGCTCCAGGGCGCAGCAAAGAGAGCCATGAGGGCTAGGGAAGGCTGAGGCAGCACCTGTTGTAGCCCTAGCTGGCTTATCTGGAGTTCTGGGGGGCTCCTAAGGTAGCTGCAGTGCTGAGCAAGCTGCTCAGAACCTGGCTATCAGCCAGTATCTGGCTCTGGCCAGACAGGCTTCTGTTTCCTGCAGTGCACACTGCTGCCACATTTATGCCACCGTTTTTTTCAGTGGTGGGGTTTTTATTTTAAAACCAGGATCTCCCAGCATCAAAATCCCCGCATTGTGCTGCAGATTAGCAGTGTGGTGAACCAATGCACATGTACTGTGTGTGGTTTGCAGCCCATCAAACTGGTTTGAGGGGTCACAAACTGCACGCATACACTCATCAAGAAGTGCCCAAGGACATGGCTGGCTGATTTCATGGGTAGATCCCGGGGCCAGCTGCCATTTTCACAGGATGAGCATGGCAGGCCCCACCCCCATGCCTTTGATTTGCCAAGGGGCCCCAGCAGTCCTGCCCCTCCCTGCAGATTGTGAGATGGCCCAAAACCTTGGCTTAATTACCTAAAGCCCAGGAAGCCATTAATCTGTGCTTAATAATATGTGGATTAATGAGTTCCCCGGGCTTCATCGGGGTTATTAAGCCATGGTTTTGGGCCATCCCCAAGCTGGACCATGGCCCTGGGCTGGCTATGGCAAGCAACTGGAAGGCTGCAAGTAGTTACACCCGGGTCCACAGAACCCCAGCATAGATCATTGCCAACAGTGGGTACTTGCATACGATGAGCCATGTTGGGGCTTCACAGACCCTGGTGAAGCTGCTTGCATCCTTCCGGTGGCATGCCACAGTCAGCCTGGACCCAAGTGCAGCTGCTTCTGCCACCTCTCTATCATCCACCCTCTGGTCCCCTCCCCCACTCCATTCCAAGACTTCAGGGCTTCCCAGCCGCTTCTCTGCTTGCAGGTAAGTTGGTTTTTGGGGGTTTTCTTGTTGTTTTGTTTTGGGGGTTTTTTGCAGTGAGCCCACCATTTTTCACAGAGCCTGCTGTTTTTGGTGGAGTCCACCATTTTTTCATGGAGCCTGCCCAAATTCGCAGCTTCTGTGACAATCACACAATTGCAAATTTGGTAGGTCCCTACATATATGACACCTTTGTGTAATGTAGACATAATCTGGATCTCTTTTTGGATAAAACCCTTATTGTCCTCAGACACCTTATCTGCAACAATAAAACACTTCCCTATCTCAGAAGGTTGACGCCAAGATAAGTTCATTACTATTTATAGAGAATTTACAAGCTGCAGTGATGGGCAGATAGAGGATGATAACCAAGTTTATAGCTAGCTGCTAATTGATTTTCCTTCAATCAATAGTTTTAATAGCAGAAGGCTTGAATACCCTAGGAACATGTGCAAGTCTACAGATATAGGAACAAGATAAGCAAAACCATTCCCAACACAGGGAAAGAAGAAAACTAAGGTATATATGGGATCTGAATGCCTATGTGATTCAGCCTGAGTACAACAGAACTACAAAAACTTAGCAAGCTATATATCGTGAGTAGGTGTTATAGGGTCTCAACCCCCTTCTGGCTGACATCTTCCATATGTCTGCCCTCTGGCTAAGGAGGTGCTGATGTCCCCTCCCCAACCACCTTCTGCCATCAAATGTTCTCATCTGCCACAACTCTGATATTCCTTCATTTGGGAGTTGGTTCTAAGAGGAAACTGCTCCAGTCTGATGGGAAAATCTTTGTGGGGCTCCACCTCCCCTACATTCCACCCCTACCACACCTTGGATGTTATTTCTACTGGATATTTTCTGAGAGCCAGATCCCTTTCTAGGCCGATATGAGTCTACCTCCCAACAGCCTAGTCCCCATTAACTGATGTTCACAAAAGAGGAGATTGTCCTCCCAAGTCCCTAGTCCTCAGGCTCAAAGTCAGTCTTGGGGATCAGTGCTTCATTGGGCACTTTGCCCTACCTGCCCTTTTAACGTAGGGCCCCTTTTGCTGTCCCTACCCTCAGTTAAACAATTGACTTGAATTTAAAAGACAAAGGGGAAAAAAAGGGGAAAAAAAAAGAAACAGTTCCTTCAGGGCTGTAGAGCACCACCCTCCAATCACCCTGGGATCAACCCTCTGGATCCCTCTCAATGCCTTTCCAGTAGCTGCTTAACAGCTGGTCTGTCCTGCTTCAGGTAAATAATCCTGAGATTCCAGGAGCAGTACTTCCTTCCTTGGTGGCCCTCCACCAATCCCTCTTGCCAAAAGCCTCTGAGCTGCAGATATCTGCAGACAGGTGCTGGCAGGATAGTTCCCCAACATCTCTGTCTCCTGGATGCAGGGGTCT